CCTCCGGCCCTCTCCCTCCCTCCGGCCCTCGCCCTCTCTTAGACGCATGAACACACTCCGGTAAGGGCCAGCCACCCCGGCTTCCCTCCCGGGTGACACAACCCCTGGTCGCAGTGGTGATGCGGCAGGCAAGCGGGGAGGGGAGGGAGAGGGTGGGGAGGGGCTGGCCGGGCTGCGGTTAAGGCCCCCGTCCTCTCCCGGAGGGCCGCACGGAGCAGCCTATCGGAATCTCTTAGCCACAGAGGCGCAGCTCCCCCTCCCCTCACCCTCCTGGTCCTTCCCTCCTCTCCAAACCCGACCGGCGGAGGCGGCACTTTTCGCTAACGCCATCCCCTCATTGTGAATGGATGAGGGAGAGGCGAGAGAGCGAGCGGACGTGCGCTCGGCCCAGACCAACAGCCGACCGGCCAGCACGCGTGCGCGACTGTGCGCGAGCGACGCACAGGAGTAAATGAGTTAATGAGGCGGCGAATGAACGAACGAATAATTGAACAAACGAATAATTGAACGAACGAATAAATGAACGAATGAATGAAAGAACGAACAAACAAACGAACAAAAAGAAACAGAAACGAAGAAACAAACAAGAACAAATGAATGAATGAATGAATGCACGAATGAATAAATGAATGAATGAATGGATGAATGAATGGGTGAATGAATGAATGAACGAACGGGTGAATGAATGAACGAACGGGTGAATGAATGAACGAACGGCTGAATGAATGAATGAATGAATGAATGAATGAATGAATGAATGAATGAACAAACGGATGATAGACGCCTGGGTCAATTTGTGCGAGCTGCGAGTGCGACGTCCGTGTGAGTGCGATTTGCCACATAAAGGCATACATGATTGGCCCAGGAAATTGGAAAGCTGGCGGTGCGTCAGACGGCGCCAAGCAGTCGAGTGTCCTCGAGAAAAGGCAGAGATAGGATGAAAGAGAGAGGGCGAGCCACGGGAGGGAAATTGAATAGGGCAGCTGAGAAAAAAAAGTTTTTGTTTCCGTCTAGAATGGTATGCGATGCGCCCCAGGCATGCGGTGTGTGTGTGTGTGTGTGTGTGTGTGTGTGTGTGTGTGTGTGTGTGTGTGTGTGTGTGTGTGTGTGTGTTCGTGTTCGCCCGGCCCGTATATCGATACCTCGAGACGATCGATAGATATCGCCCTTCTAGATTGGACGACTTGTCTGTGAGGGGAGCGGGTCGCTACATGTATTTAATATATTTCAATTTACTTCTTTGTGTTGTAAACTTCTTATTTTCTTTCTATTTCTTGTATCTTGTTTACACGAATTTTTCGAGTTGGACGCCGTCGATTTGAATTCTGAAAAGTATTGACAGTGAATAAGAACGCTTAAACGTGTTCAACTTCAGGGTTGACCATATGAAGCTTTCGACACTTAAAAGTGTTCAAATTTATCATTGAAATTTCCAGTCCAACGCCGAAAGACTGTGAGCCATAGAGTCAAACACGACCATGTGCATGCCAGTTGCTAGTTGCTTATAGTTCTGTTTTCAGTGAAGTCACTCGTTGCGTTACTTTCTCTGCCGACTCATAGTCCGTGAGAGCCGCGCTGGATGCTTCAGTTCCAGTGAGGGGCGGCACGAC